ACAGGTTACCTAAATCTTCCACCTGCAGTAGCTTCTAAAACCGTTTCTCTGCATCCAATTTTATCTTTTCCAATACAAGCCTCATACCATTACCAAAGTGTTCCTTCTAAAACATTTCATAAGAAATCCTTCCATGATGCTTCACTGCATTCAGGATAAAATCTAAATTTCTTGGGAGAGATCTGGCCTAACATGACCCTAACTACCTGGCTACTTTCTTCTGGCTTTTCTCTGCAGGACTCTGCGCGTCATTCATACCATGCTACATCTGGGGAGGTAGGGGAGAGCTTGCATGAGCTCCCACATTCTAAACATTCTATTTTCTCTCCCTCTCTTCCTTACTTATGTAACTTACAGTCACCGTTAAGACTTAGCTCAGCCAAGTACTTGAAGAAGTGTTTCTGACCATGCCATTCTCCCCCTTCCTTTCTCTTCCTTTTGGACTGATTTAAATCCACATTCTCTGTATCCCACAACAACCAGTGTTTTCATGGCAATAATGACACTGAATATGTATACTTTCTTGTCTGCAATTAGATACTCATCTTTTCAAGGAAAGTACCATATTTCCCTTATTTCTACATCCTCTGGTGTCCAATTCATTGTAATTGCTCATTAAATATTTAATAGGCAAATGGATTATACTGGAGTGGATTCTGAACTTAACATATAAACCATCAAATAAACCAAAACCACCCTTGGAAATTCCTTAGGAAGGCATTACACTGAAGACCAATCTGCTGCCTCAACATAGTTAAGCCAGCACAGTTTTTCCTCTAGCACTGAAATACTAGTTTCTTTGGAGGACCCTCCACACTTACAATCCACTGAATGACATTATTTTATAAAAACTATGCATTTTTAAGCACTAGAATTTCTATCCCATGAAACTCCAAGTATGGCAAGTAGAAACTGACGTGGAGTAAAAGAACAGCGATTTCTCTCTCATATTGAGGTTACTCTGAATATGCTTAGCAAGAGGAATGGCAGAATCACCATTTTCTTCCTTGCTACCTTTCCACTCTCTTTTCTTCCCCTCCCTCACCCCGCCTTCATTCCTATCTATGTTATCTGTTGCTAAGCCTGTTTCTTTGAATTCATATAAATTATGATGTGACTCCACTGTATTGACACGCCTATAAGGATTGTTCACAGCCAGTATTTCTCTCATAATCTATTCCCACCAAGATTATGTAGCACTTTAAACAATATTCGCAAATACAGGAATATACAAGCATAGCCACAAGCATGCTAAACTCTTGTGCCATCTATTAGGCTGAAAGAAGTTCAAACATTCACAAAAATGTGAAGAAAGTATAAAGAAACATCTCAGCTGCTGTACTTACATTTCAAAATAAACATTCCAAAATATAGGCTAGAAGAATACTACGGCTAATTGAAAATCATCAGACAATAAGTATGAATGTTCAGAGAGCCAGACATGACTGAGCAACTGAACTGAACTGAACTGAGTGAAAACTCAGCTAGTTACTAATTAACTTCAATGGGCCCACTAAAGAAGCCTATCTCAGAGCAAACACTGGACAGAAGAGATTTGAGGATGCTGCCATTTGGGTGAGTACTAACAATTCACCAAAATAAAATAAGTCACCATAAGCATACACTGAGTACAGATTTGCTTCTCAGAAAAACTTAAGAACTGAAATAACCCTATTAAGTTCCAATAATTAAATAAATAACTATTTGTATGTGTTTATAAAGCACATTTTAAAGTATACTTAAAATGCATAAAATGCATTTAAAAGTATATTTGATAACCTAAAAGAATAAAAAAACTAAGAGAGTACACATATAAAACTTTCATTTTTTTCAAAAATCATGTAAACATAATTATATTTCCATTTTTTATATTTATGGCAATTCTATAGTTACTATACATGCATGTAAAATTACATTACCATATAAAAGTGTACCTGCTTCAATACATAAAATAATTTAGTTTTTATCTATAGCACACACCTAAAACAGAAGTTCTGAAAAAGGAAAAGAAATGCCAAACAAGAGAAATAGTGTAGGCATTTCAATGAGTAAGAAAACCATCTGGCTAGCTTGAAAATCTGCTTCTGTGTAAGAAAAAAATAAAGGTTTAGAACAGAAGTACGAGTGACAACTAGCTCCTTCTACTACGCTTCCAGGCAGCTTCCCTTCATCCCACCATCTAAAACTCTTCCTTCTTTCCTATGAAGTCCCATGGTCCTTAATCTATATACTGCTGATACCAGAGATAATTATTAAGTTTACACTTAGTATAAATTTTATACTTTATCTTCCCCACTAGACCATAAACTCTTTTATTAGAGTAAGAGCTATGCTTAATTCAGATCTCTACACCCACTTATCTACCAGAGTACACTGCTCATTCTCAATAAATAAATATTTCATAAATACACAAAAAGATAGGTTCTCCTGAAAATACACTTTAAGCATTTTTTCTAAAGAACCTATGTACCACATTACTCTCTATTTTTCTTCCTACATCTCAGTAGTTCCTACTTTACCAGTTTTTTTTTTAATTCCTTTATTTGACCGCTTCAAGTCTCAGTTGGTATGTGTGGGTTTAGTTGCCCTATGGTATGTGGGGTCTTAGTTCCCCAAGAAGGAACTGAACCTGTGTCCCTTAATTGGAAGACAGAGTCTTAACCACTGGGCCACCAGGGATGTCCCCTCTAGTTTAACACTTTTGCTAACTTGTTTTATCCCTGTTCCTGGAGGGAAAACTTTTCATCTATTTGCTTATTTGCTCATTCAAAACATCCAGTAAGTGTCAAGTTCCTACTATGTGTCAGGTAGTGAGTTAGGTGCCAGGGTTATACCAGTGGGTAGTCTTTAGGGAGCTTTGAGCCTAGTAGGAAGGACAGATAAGTAAATAATTATAAAGCAATGTGCTAATTTTTATGATGGATACAAACACATGATACTAAGAGTATTTCTATAATTTAAAAGTGCTTCTCCAACTTTTTGCCTGCAGTTTATCATTTCCCTATATAATATTCTCTCCACTGGTCATCCATCCATCTGCCTACCTATCTTTCTTCCTTCAACTTTAATATACACCTTTGATACAAAATACAAAAGATGCCCAAGAATAAAGTGAAAAATAAGACTTCCTCCCATCTTTCCCCCAGTGATTCAGTTTGCCTTCCTGAAGATAAGCACTAATGTCCAGTACATAATTCAGAGATAGTCAATGTACACACAGACATATATGCACACATATATGGTCTTACTTTAACATGTCAGTAGCATACTTTATATTCTGTCTGCATCTTGCTTTTCTTATTTCATAACATATCTTAGAAATTACACTGTCTCAGCCCATATAGGGTAACATCATTCTTTTTAATGAATATAAAGTATTTCACTGCATGAATATCTAAGTAGACTCCTGGAAGTGAAATTCCTGGGTCCCAGAATATGTGTATTTTTAATTTTGATAGATACTAACATAGAGACTTCACCAATTTAAATTTCCTATAAAACAGGAAATATTCACCTCCATAACTTAAATTACAACCTTTATGGGAATGGCTCCCAAATCTATATCCATATTCTGACCCTTATTTATTCTCTGTGGTATTTCCACATATATATTTCTTGGAACCTTAGGAAAAAGCTTTTTAAAACCCAATTTATAATTTTACTCTTAACACACTCTTCATAAGTTCACTACACATATTAATTCTCCGTGATCCCAACCAAATGCTTTTCTACCCACATTCAATTAATGAACTGTTAAGACAGATCAATCCTATATAATTCTGACACCCATCTTCTTTTTATTTTCTCAGACATCTGACAAGGGTCCAGTTCAGAATGCTTGGATTACTAAATTCTAACTAGTCAACTTGTTCCTCTGTACTTGCCTACCAGTGATTTTGCTCAAATCATTCTCTCTGCCTGAAATATCCTCTCAAATCAGTTCCCCTGTTGGAATTTCATTAAGCCTATCCTAAACACTAGATCCATTCATAACAAATTTCCTTTTATGAATTTATTAACACTTAGATCTTTCACTATATTCTAATTTATAATACAGTTATAAGATAAATTATAAACTCAACACATATTGATAAACTCACACTGCCAAGGCACTCAAAATGTGTTTACCAAATGAATGAATGAATTTTTTGCAATGCACTAATTCCTGTAAGTCAGATAATCAATAGGAGAAAACATGCTATAGAGGATAATTGCTTCTTCTTTCCTTACCTCTTTCCCTCCTTCCCTTATTTCTTCCTCTTCCTCCTTCCCTCTCCCTCCCTCCCTCTTTTCCTCCCTTCTTCCTTCCCTCTCCTTCCTTCTTTGCTTTCAGGTAATAAGATTATTTTAAAGTCTGTGAGATACAGGCCCCTATTTAAGAATTAAATTTCAGAATACTCACAATGTGAAATATTTCCAGTAAACTATATTTTCCCCTTGCATTGATTTTGATGAAAAATAGGGAAAAGGATAAAGAATAAAGGAAAAGGTGAATATACTATTACAATGATTGAATTTCCCTTCAAAACTAAAAAATCATCTAAATACAGTCAAGGTTACTCTTAACTACTATGTAGAAGAGAAAACTCAACCGCAATGTACCTATGGCCTATTGTTAAACTGAGTTTAAAATGGGTGAAATAATTTTTTACAAGTTTCGCAAAAACTTGCAGAAGAACTATGTAAAGCATCATAAACCCTATATGCCTGGTTTTCAAAATTAACCGTGATTTTAAAAATCACTATCTGTAGTAAAATTTACATTTAAAAAATTTAGAAAAGAGTTGATTATGCTTCCCTATACATAAAGTATTGCTAGTTAAAAAAATAAATGATCATTATATTTCATTAAAAATTATTCAGCTCTCATTTACTAAAATAGTAGAGAGCTATCAAATCTCTATCAAGAAGTAGAGAACTATTACACTATAACTTGTAAATAATTTCAAAAAACAACAATACTACCATGCAAATGCAAGTGTTGGTTATATTTGACTCACCTCTCCCCCATTAACATATTCCATCACAAAACACAAACGGTCTTTTGTCTGGAAGGAATATTTCAGGGACTTGAAATGAAAAAGAAAACATGTTATATTATAATCCTACATTTTTACAACAGTATCCAAAATAGAACACTTAGAAACAGTAAGTGTGATTGATAAATTGTTCATGTTCCTTAAGAGTCTATTTATTCCTTTAAGAACACTTAAATAAAAATTTATGAGAAATATAAAACACATTTTGTGAAGATCAGCAATGGGCATTATTTCGGGAAAAACTAAAATTATAATTATTAGTAAAACAATCCTAACTCTTAAAAGTTTCTTCCTTTTGAAAGTCTATCTGTTGTTCTTAATCTTAAAACACTTCATTGGGACCAGGAACATACAAGAACTTTGCAAATCAAAGAAAAGGGCATACCTAAATAAATGTGACTGAAAATGTTACTTTTCATACTCAATTGCTGTAATAAAACTCCCTTAAATATAAAATGTTACAATTATAACATCTTTCCTCTAGTCACTTACTGTTAAAAAGGGATGTCTAGTGTTCTTTAATACTCTGCTTTCAGTTAAAGTGTGTGCCACTTCATCCTATGAAAGAAAAAGGCAAATAAACCTTTAATATATGCTCCGAGCACAAATAATACAAAAATTTCGCCATTTCTCTAAGACCAGAAGAAATTAAACCCAGACACAGAAAAAGATTTTAAACATATGCTCCTTTATTGCTTAGCTTCTCTTCTACCAAAAAAAAAAAAACTCAAATTAGTGATTTAAATCAGATGGCTATAATATATAAACTCAGTCATACTTTATCAAAGTATATCAATAATGATATAATAATAAGCAAAAATTACCAGGGACACAAAAAATGAAATAGTAAGCCTTTCCCCTTGAAGAAAATGTCCTGTAAGTTAACAGCTAGGTATGGAGTTGTTAATATTTCCATGTTTGTATTACATTGTATTCAGGGGGATACAAAGGATATACTTCAGTAAAGATCATAGAATTGGTAAGTCTTCTACCTAGAAGAAAAATAAGTTATTGAAAAGAGGAACACAGTACACATTAAGAGGTTTAATTCTAAATTATACATTTCAGAAATAAAAATAGTATAAAACTGTATATTTTTGTTTTGTGGTTTTTTAGCATGCTTTTCTTTAGAAAAAAAAAGAAATTAAAAAAAATCATAGCCTATTATAGGACACTTTCAAGATCTGGATATATTTAAAGCCAAAAATAAACTAAGATTGTATTTCCTCAATTTTGTACATAAATTTCATCTTGACATCAAAAGTGAACTAGGGAAGATTTTCTTCAACAAATGGAGAACTGGAAAAACATTTCCTATCTCAAAAATAACACTATCTTAAAGAAGAAAGGAAAGGGAGATAAATGCTGAAACTAACACAACATCTCTGGTTTCTGCTTCTGCCAAGATCCTAAACAAAGCCCTTGCTGGATCAATTTATTAACACAGCCAGCAAATCAAGATTATAAGTAAGAAGTGGAAACTTTAGGACACTGTATTAATATTTACAAAAGCATCTGACCTTATTTAGACTTAGAAGATAAATGAGCAAGAGAATGATCAAAGATGCTAAAATCCAAAAGCCATTCCAAGAGAGTGAAACCAATTCTTTTTTTAAAATTAACTAATTTTGCTTGGAGGATAATTACTTTACAATATTGTCATGGTTTTTGTCATACATCCATATGAATTGGCCACAGGTATACATGTGTCCCCTCCATCCTGAACTCCCCTCCTCTCTCTCCCCCCACCCTGTCTCCTCCAGGTTGTCACAGAGCACCAGCTTTAGGTGCCCTGCTTCATATGTCCAACTTGCATTGACATATGGTAATATATATGTTTCAATGCTATTCTCTCAAATCATTCCATCCTCTCCTTCTCCCACTGAGTCCAAAAGTCTGTTCTTTACATCTGTGTCTCTTTTGCTCCCCTGTACATAGGATCATCAGTACCATCTTTCTAGGTTCCATATGTATGCCTTAATATACGGTGTTTGTCTTTCTGTTTCTGACTTACTTCATTCTGTGTAATAGGCTCTAGGTACATGTGTCTTTTTCAATTAAGTGTAACGACATAGTATTTAAAACCAGTGAAATAAAGTATGGGTAAGAAAGCATTCAAGTCTTATTTGGTTAATAAGAACCAAGTTTAAATGCTCAAACATGAAAACCACCATCATATCATGCCATAAATTTTAAATTAATTAGAACACCAAACATCTTAGTAAAAAATACTAAATATAAATGATATCAGAACTTATTTCTATACCCACGCTTACCATAATGATTAGTATACAGTAGGTAGTTGTTAAATGTTTGTTGAACTTAACAGTTTATCATAGGAATGAATTCCAAGATGTCTCATATGTGGAACTTTCACTCATTCAATCATTTATTTTTTCAATAAATATGAAACAAATATACTCTGGGTATTCTATCCACTGAAGACAGGATACTGAACACCACAGACAAAAGTCCTGCCCTCCTGGAGCTATCATTCCAGTTGGTTAGATGGTGGTCAGCATTAATGGAAAAAACAAAGAAGACAAGGGATTGCTAAAGTTTATGAGAACCATATAATGGATACAAAATACATGATTAAGGATTATACAAGTGGCTATTTTATGGGCTATAAAGCTGAATTCATTGATTAAAAAATGAAATCCTTGACATGCACTTACTAAATAACAATAACAGTACAAGTATAAAATCATTTTTGTAAAAAAGATTCCATGATTCTTTTGCTCATGGAGTTGACATGCTAGTGGAGAAGACACTGGTGCATATCAAATCGGTACACATCCAATTTAAGATGTAATTATGAATTCTGATAAGTGATCTTATGAGAAAGTGGGGTAAAGAAGGAAAATTAATGTTACTGGAAGATCACAGGTTGAGTAACATGATGGTGTAGGATTTGGGGATTGGGGCACACATTGATTTCTGGTTTTAAATTTGCTCAAGCTCCTCTCAGAAGGACAGCAAAAACAGGAGTGATCAGTTAGGAGACAACTGCAGTGTAGGAGTGAGAAACTAGGATGGCTAGGATGACTGCAGTGGCACCAGGAGCATGAAAAATTGTTTGAAATATTTTTGAGATAAAAAATTAACAGTGAAAAACTAACAGCTATATGCTTGCAACAGAGAATAAAGCAGAAGTATTACTTTATATGCAGTCAGAGAAGGCAACATTTACCAGTTATGCTTTAGGATTTTAAGTTATGTGAGGCAGTAAACTAGGAAAAGACTAAAAAAAGAGAAGTATGAAACCCATTTGGAAAAGATATCCTAGCGCTTCAGTTAATATTTCTGGCAGCTATTTCATTCTATTTTGTTGAAACAAGCTCATTATATGTAATAGTTATTTTTCTAAATCACTTAGTAAGTTCCATGAAAGATTATTTTTTTTCCCTAAATTCTGTAATCTGCCTAACCACATTAAAGGAGTCAAGTAAAGATGTAGGTAGGCAAAAGCTAAAACAGTATTTCTTTGTTATAAGAATGAAAACAGAATTAATACCATGCACATATATTTTATGTATTAAAATGTATTTTCTACCATACTTTACATCTGATCAAATTAAAATTTTCTCCTTAATGCAAATTTAATGGTACAGTATTTCACATACTAATTAGTTTCTGCTATGAAGATAAGGTATGCACAAGCTAAAAAGTAAACACAGATGTCAATAATTTTTAATTACAGTTAAAAGCAACATGTCAAAACAAAAAGTTATAAATAACACTGATAAAACTTAGGGGCTAAAACAATATGATGCTTTTTTAAAAATCCATTTGTTGATCATGATTACAAATAAAGAGCGCTTGGGCATATAAGTAAAATGTTTTCATGAAAAAGCTTTCGAAATTTAGTTTCATATATATTCATCCATGGCAAAAGACTAATGAATTTTAATATCTAATTTCTTTCATAGAAAGCAGCTTAGGGAGAATGGATTTTTTCATGATTTTTTGCAAACATGACACAGAAGAATAGTCTTCCTCATACTCATTTTTCCAATCCTCTCAATTTATCACTACTCTTTACCAAACATGGTCTAAAATTCTCCTTTTCATTCTCCCCACTTATTGCTTTTGGTAGTTAAGTTTTTGGCGGGAGGTGGACAAGGAGCAAATGATGACAGAGAAACAGAAGAGAACATCTCTATCACTCTATCAAGGGTGTCATCTCCTTTAATCCTTGTAGTAACTGAGCAGGTGTCTTTGATTATTCCCATTTTATATGAGGTAACTGAGGTTCACAGAAGTTAAACTGCTCAAACTGCAAGTGAAAAGGTCAAGATTGATCTCATCTAAGTCCAACATCAACGGTCATTTCCAACAACTCAGTAGCAACTTAACCTGGTACACTTTAACTCTGTTCACATTATTTTCTCCATTTTGACCACAAGACTCTAAAGACTGACTTCATGAAGCTGGCTGAAATCAAGATACATGACATCTAAAGCATTAAAAAAAAGTAATCCAGAGCTATAAATGAGGCCGAGTGGAGAAGATGAAGGAGGCGGGGAGGCAGGGAGAAGAGGGGAGAAAAGGTTTTACCTTGGTATCTTTATTCTTAATCAACCACAATGACTACAAGTGATCGCTATGTACTTGCTCTGTTTTGACAAGCCATGTGTCAGAAATCTATATATTTTTCCACATAGAAAGGATGTCATACTTGTGGTTGTTTGGTCATTAAGTTGTATCTGACGCTTGCAAGCCCATGAACTGTAACCCACCAGGCTCCTCTGTCCATGGGATTTCCCAGGCAAGAATAATGGAGTGGGTTACCATTTCCTTCTCCAGGAGATCTTCCCAACCCAGGGATTGAATCCATGTCTCCTGCATTGCAGGTGAATTCTTTACCAATTGAGCCACCATACTATCATTCAATCTGTCAGGCAATCCTGATGGTTCTTCATCAAAATATGCCCCAGACTGAATATGTCTTACCACCTCCACTGCTAATACCCTGATGCAAGCCACTATAATCAATTGTCTGGATTATTGCAGATAACTCCTAACAAGCTCCCTGCTTCCACAGTCTATTCTCAACAGTATAGCCAAGGTGATGATATTAAAATGAAAACTATATCATGTTACTATAAATGATATAGTTAAAAAAAAACAAGTATAAAAACTTCCAATGGCTGACCAGTACAATGAGTAAAACCCAAAATCCTTACAGCATCTACCACTATCATAAACAACTCTCCACTGTTTTTACTCTTTGCAAGTCATGCTAGACTAGATTCCTAGCTATTTTTAAAATATGCTGCTTCCCTCAGCACTTTTTTTTGGCTGTGATTTCCTCTATCAGGAATATTATTCCTCCCAAATACCTGAATGGTTTGCTTCCTCATTTCCTTCAAATGTTCACTGAAATTTCACTTTCTCAATGACTGATCATTTAAGACATTTAAGATCATTTAAGACAGCAAAACCCACAAAAATCACTAACACTACACAAAAACTAGTGGAACTACTAAATGAATTCAGCAAGACAGCAGGATAAAACATCAATATACACAAATCTCTTTCATTACACTAACAATGATATATCAACAAGAAGAAATAAAAAAAAAATTCCTGTTTGAAATCACATCAAGAAAATAAAATACCAAGGAGGTGAAAAGTCTATACATTGAAAACTATAAAACACTGATAGAGGAAACTGAAGACAATTCAACAATGAAAGGGAAAGATCCCAAGGCCTTGGAATGGAACAATTAATATAATTAAAATGGCCATACTACCCAAAGGAATTTACAGATGTAATGCAATTTTTATCCAAATACCTATGACTTTATTCACAGAACTGGAACAAATATTCTTAAAATTCATATGGAACCACAAAAGACCCTGAATTGCCAAAGAAATCTTGAGATGGAAGAACAGAGCTGGAAATATCATGCTCCCTGACATCAGACTATATTACAGAGCTACAGTAATCAAAACAGCATGGTACTGGCACAAAAACTGATTTATAGCCCAATGGTACAGAATAGAGAGCCCATAAATAAACCCATGCACCTATAGTCAATCCATGACAAAGGAGGCAAGTATACAAAATGGAAAAAAGACAGCTTCTTCAACAAATGGTGATGGGAGAGTTAAACAGCTGCATGTAGATCGATAAAATTAGAACACTCCCTAACACCATATACAAAAATAAACTCAAAATGATTTAAACACCTAAATATAAGACATGACACAACAAAACTCCTTGACCAGAACACAGGAAAAATATTCGTGGACATAAATTAATGCAGTATATTCTTAGGTTAGTCTCTGAAAACAAAACAAGTATAAGCAAAAATAAAACAAAGAATGGGACCTAAACAAACTTAAAATTTTTTTGCACAGCAAAGGAAACCATCAACAAAACAAAAAAACCTATGGAATGGGAGAAAAATATTTTCAAATGATGCTACTGACAAGGAATTAATATCTAAAATATACAAGAAGCTCACAAACTCAATTAAAAAAAAAAACTAATTAAAAAGTGGGCAGAAGCACAGAAGACATTCCTCCAAAGAAGATGTTCAACGTCACTAATTATTTTTGCTGTTGTTTAGTTGCCAAGTCATATCCAACTCTTTTGCGACCCCATGGACTATAGCCCACCAGACTCCTCTGTCCACAGGATTTTCCAGGCAAGAATACTGGAGTGGGTTGCCATGCTCTCCTCCAGGGAATCCTTGTGACCCAGGGATTGAATGTGGGTCTCCTGCATTGGTATGCAGATTCTTTACCACTGAAGAAGCCCTCACTAATTATTAGAGAAAAGGAAATAAAAATCACAGCAAAGTACATTGTCACTTCAGTACCATTTCACACTTGTCAAAATGACTATCATCAAAAAGGCTACAAATAATAAATGCTAGAGAAGATATGGAGAAAAGGGAACTCTCCTATACTGTTGGTGAGAATGTAAATTGGTGTAGCCACTATGGCAAACAGTATGGCGGTTCCTTAAAAAACTAAAAACACAACTACCATATGATCTACCAATCCCACTCCTGGGCATATATTCAGAAAAAACAAACTACACTTACCTATGGCTGGTTCATATTGATATATGGCAGAAACTAACATAATACAATAAAGCAATTGTTCTCCAGTTAAAAATAAATAAATTTAAAAAAAATACATGCACCTTAATGTTCACAGCAGTAGTATTCACAACAGGCAAGACATGGAAACAAGTTTAGTACCCATCAGGAGATGATTAATTTAACAAGATGTGCATATGTATGTGTATATAAACATACATACATACACAATGAAATATTACTCATCCATAAAAAGAATGAAATGATGCCATTTGCAGTAACATGAAAGGACCTAGAGATCATTATACTTAGTGATGTAAGTCAGACACAGAAAAACAAATACTGTATCACTTTTATGAGGAATCTAAAAAAAATTAAATGAATTCTATAAACAAAACAGAAAGACTCACAAACACCGAAAATAAACTTATTACCAGAAGTGATGGACTAATTAGGCATATGGGATTAACAGATTCAAACTACTATACATAATATAGATAAGTAACAAGGATTTATTGTGTATCTCAGAGAATTATACTTAACATGGAATATAATCTTAATATGGAATATAATCACAAAAAATAACTGAATCACTAAGCTATATACCTGAAACTAAAACAATATTATAAACCAAATATAATTCAATTTAATAAATACTTTTTTAAAAACTACAAAATTTCTAGTTGTAAAATAAAGAATTCCTGGGGATTTTATGTACAGAATGATAAATAGTTAATAATACTGTAAATGTGTATTGGAAAGATGCTAGGAAAATAAATCTTAAAAGTTCTCATGACAGAAATAAAGTTGTACTCATGTGTAGTAATAAACTTTAAGTAGACATACAGTAGTGATCATTTTAGTTTTTTATTATTCCAGTAGTTTCAAATCTACAAAGGATGCTTTTCCATTCAATGATATAAAATTTATCAGTACAAATAATCTATGCTAATAATCTATACTATTCACTACTTTAATAAAAAATTCAAACTGTTAGGGGAATATCAAAAAATTACTAGTATATTTAGTGACACAGGTCCCAAATACATAGTGAAAACATTTTCCCAAATGAACAAACATAGACTAAAATTTCCTCTGAAAAGAATAAAAGATTGTACATAATAATTATAAAATTTTGAAAATTTTAATACTATAAATAAATATCAATATACAGATATTATGCAGCTGTAACCTATAATCAACATTTTGCTTATTTAATGGAATTTCTACAGTCTAGTCATGTGCATGCATGAGCACACACACATGTGGACAACATAAACCAAAATTTTATAATCAACTCTTGTATTATTACCTTGGCAATAATAACTTCTTTCTTCAGAATCTTCATAGCATAATATTTTCCACTTGCCTTCTCTCGAACCAAAATAACTTTCCCAAAAGTGCCTTTACCTAGTAGTTTCAAATAGTCAAAATCATTCATTGTCTGAAAAATACAAATTAAAATATATAATATGAAACATCTGATGAAATTTATTTGTAAACATGTATGTATATATTGGGGATTATCTACTCAAAATCAAATTTTACCAATTTCCGAGAATGCTTAAATTAATCAGGATCAGCCTGGCATTGGCTTTCCCATCTAGAACCATGGATGTTGGAAATAATTTAAACAAGTTTCAGATAGTGGAGACAATAATTTTGAGCACAGAATCTCTCAACTATTCATTATTAGTAAAGTATAAGGGCAAAGGGAAAAATAAAATCAACTTTACTCACTTCCAAGTATTCAAGTTTCTAAGGATTTAGTAGTGCCACTACCCCTACATGATGAGTCAATCAAAATTGTCCTCCACAAACATTTCCAAATATATCAAAGAGAAAAGTAGCTTTGAATGGAGTGCTTGAGAATGTACTCTTATCAAAATAAGGATGGACTCCAAGAAAAAGAAAGATATGTGTATCAGAAACACTGAAAAGAATTCTGAAGCTCAGTTCAAAGAGAGAACAGCAGTACGTCTACTGAGAAAACAAGTCGTCCAATTCAGAAGAGGAAGTCATGAAACTCTTTAAGAATGTCTCTATCTGTCTGTTTTCAATTTCGTTTCTCATTCCCATCTCTAAGTAAGGTTATTACCAGGATTTTACTGAGGAGAATTACTACTTGCTCTCTATAGCTTCCTCTCTGAATGCTTATCCTGCTCTGTTTTATTTACCCATAAACTTCCAAAAATTTGATGATGTTTGTTCACTAAGGCCTTTCCCCCACCCAGCTTTTCATTTTTGTGAACTTTTCCCTTTTAAAAATTTCTTTACTATCATTTTAATAGGCTTTAGATGAAAGAGGAGGTATGCTTAGTTTACAATGTTAAATTTAAATTCTTTTTAGAAGGATATTAAAATAGCAAATTGGACTTCCCTGACAGTCCAGTGGTTAAGACTCCACACTCCACTGCAGGAGGTGCCGGTTTGCTCTCTGGTCAGGGAACTAAGATCCTGCATGTCACACAGAATGACCAAAACAATAACAAAAACAATTTAAGAGGGTGGGGTTTTATCCTACTAACAATCAAAAGTTATTGAAAATTTTTGTGCCTTTTTAGAAGTATTTTTTTCCTCTTTACCACCCATTTGAAGTAAATGTCAGAAATGTCTCAAAGCAATGACTTCAGCTTCTATCTTAAGAAACTACAGAAAGTGCAAATTAAACTCAAAAGAACTAGAAAAAATAAAATAAAATAAAGATCAGGGCAGAAATCAATTAGGGATGTCCCTGGCAGTCTCTCCAGTGGTTAAGAATCTGCACTTCCACTGCAGGGAGCATGGATTCAATCCCTGATCAAAGAACTAGAATTCCACTTGCTATATATAGCATGGCATGGTGTGGCCAAAAAAAAAGAAAGAAAGAAAGAAAAAAGAAATCAATTAAATTTTATAAAGAAAGAAAAAGCGGGGAGGTCAAGATGGTGGAGGAGTTAGGAGGATGTGGGGTTCATCACTCCCTACAAAAGCATCAAGAACACATTTACAAAAGAACAATTCTCAGAGAAAAGGCTGAATGCTAGCAGAAGACCCTGGACACACAAAAGGACAAGAAAGATCCCTGCAGAACCAGGTAGGACCAAAGAAAGAAAAGAGAAAAGAAGAGAGGGTCCCAACATCTCAGGAAGCCCCCTCACCAGTGGAGAGATCAGTAGGCAGAGCAGTGGAGTTTAAGAGGCTATCAGAAAAGGACAAGAACAGGTCTGTGGTAGGCAGGACAAAGTGAGACCTACACAGTCCATGCCACAGCCCTGGGGCTCCAACGTGAGACATGGGTTCCTGGTGCAGATGGGGGCTGGCGGCAAGAACATGGGGTTTGGGGAGCAAACCCAGGGAGAGGTCTGCTATTGGCTGCTGCGAGGAGACAGCCTGAGGGGTGGGAAGTGAGGAAATCCACAAGTAGGAATGTTTGTGGAGGGTCATTGTTGTGTGTCAGAAGGGAAGGTGCCACTGCATCCTCTCTCTCCACTGCTGCAGCTCTCCAGCAACTAGGAAGACAGCCTACAGGGGCTGGCTCTCCACACCTAGGCACTAGGAAGGGTCCCTGCTGGCTGGCTCTCTCACACCAGTTGTAAGGCGCTGGAAAGGGTCCTGGGTGGGGCTGGCTCTTTCACAGCTGTGGCCGGGCGCTGGGAGGAACCTCTGCCGGGACACTCTCACACTCACAGCTGCCGGCTACCCTGAGAAGCCACCACTGGGCTCAAGGTAGAGCCAGCTTCCCCACACACCTCATCAACACCCGAGCATGAATCTCCTGCATGCGGCCAAGTGCTGGGAAGGGCCGCAGCACTCTGACTCTTTCATGCCTATGGCCACCAGAGTCCCCACACTTTCTTGCCGCCAGAGCTCCGTGATCCCAGTTGCCTCACAGCCTTTGTACTCCCTTCTCATCCAGGCAAACTCATGTGTTCCAGGGCCACCTCGGGAGTAGACCCCTTTGGATGGCCCACAAGAAGAGGTTGAGGCTAAAGCCACAGCTAAGCCCTAGGGGATATGCAACTAAGAAAGAAAAGCTAGAATCTCTCCTCTCAGTTGCCCAAAAGGCAAACTGACACTCTCGAGGCCAGCCTTATAAACTCAGCACCTAAAGAACATCTGAACAGACAACCAGTGAGTGCTCCCGCAGCCAAGCTTTTGCAGCTGTAGACTTTCTCAGCACATACATGTGGGGACTGGGCCAGGCTAGAGTCGGAGTTGCCTCCATAGTGCCCACAACGGGTCCACACCCATGATTACTGCATTCCTGGGGCCTGACTTCAGTGGACCTATGCTGGTGGCCTGGTGAAAACAATCTTAGAGACACCAGGGCCAACAGATGGCATATGCACAGTTGCGGTGGGGTCGAGAGCAGTGCCACGGAAGTAATCTGAGAGCTCACACAATGGGTGACAGGTGACACAACAGAGCACACTCACAGGTGATCAGCTACAGTGTCTTCCCTTTCAGCATGAGTGCTCTAATCCCTCCTACCTTGCACTGCAGATCATACACACAAAAGCTAAGGAACAGATCTGGGGGCCTCTACACCAGCAACTAGGAAGCAGATCCCACCTCTGACAGTGACAATCACAGAGCAATGAGGAGGCCCTGCTGAATACTCAGTGCAGGCTCTGGTCACCAAAACTTCAGTCAAATTCCCATCAATGTGATAATGGCCAACAGAGAAAAGTGGCAGTCATCCACTCTAAAAACAACCCTCATACAGAAAGACATCAAACCCACACAGACTACTTAGATGTTACCACACAAAACAGCCGTCCAAGACAATCTGAGGGTATGGGGTCGGAAAAAAGAACACCCAGAGCATTTTGCCTTGAAGGCCAGCAGCGTTTGAGTGCAGGAGCTCTACTGGGCTGGGGGAAACATCTTGCAGGATATACACAAGGTCTCCCGCATGCTGGCACCCAGCACAAAGTGATAGCTCCATGGAAACCTGGATTAAACCCACCTATGCAGCCGTGAAATTAGAAGATGCTTACTCCTTGGAAGGAAAGTTATGACCAACCTAGATAGCATATTAAAAAGCAGAGACATTACTTTGCCAACAAAGGTCCATCTGGTCAAGGCTACGGTTTTTCCAGTGGTCATATATGGATGTGAGAGCTGGACTGTGAAGAAGGCTGAGCGCCGAAGAATTGATGCTTTTGAACTATGGTGTTGGAGAAGACTCTTGAGAGTCCCTTGGACTGCAAGATCAAACCAGTCCATCCTAAAGGAGATAAGTCCTGGGTGTTCATTGGAAGGACTGATGCTGAAGCTGAAACTCCAATACTTTGGCCACCTCATGCGAAGAATTGACTCATTGGAAAAGACCCTGATGCGGGGAGGGATTGGGGCAGGAAGAGAAGGGGATGACAGAGGATGAGATGGCTGGATGGCATCACTGACTCGATGGACATGAGTTTGGGTAGACTCCAGGAGTTGGTGATGGACAGGAGGACTGGCGTGCTGTGATTCATGGGGTTGCAAAGAGTCGGACACGACTGAGCGACTGACTGACTGACTGACTGATGAGTCTTAGAGCACTTCCCTGGTGGCTCAGACAGTAAAGCGTCTGCCTACATAGTGGGAGACCCGGGTTCAATCCCTGGGTCGGGAAGATCTCCTAGAGAAGGAAATGGCAACCCACTCCAGTATTCTTGCCTAGAGTATTCCATGGACGAAGGAACCTAGCAGACTACTGTCCATGGGGTCGCAAAGAGTTGCACATGACTGAGCGACTTCGCCTTCACTTTTCATGAGTCTTAGAGACTCTCCTGGGTAGTGATAGTCAACTGTCACTCACTGTGAGGGAAAGAACACTGGTAACAGAAGTCTCAGGGAATAGCAATCCATGTGAGATCTCCTGGAGGTCCGTGTTTGGCACCACGACTTGGCAGCATCCGACAACCTACAAGCTCCAGAGCTGCAAAGCCTCAGGCCAAACAACCACCAGGACAGACGGCCGAATGCACACTGAGCTCACAGCCACATCAAGACACACCCCTTGACATGGCCCTGTCCATCAGAGGGACAAGGCCCAGCTCCACCTACGAGAGGGAAGGCACCCATCCCACTCGCCACGAAGCCTACACAAGCCCGTGGACCTCCATTCTCACCAGGAAGCAGACGTCAGAAAGAGGAGGAACTACGGTCCCGTGGCCTATGGAAAGGAGACCACGGACACAGAAAGACAAAATGAGACAACAGAGAAATGTGCTGCAAGCCAAGAGACAAGATAAAAACCCACAAGAACAACTAACTGAACAGGAGACAGAAAATCGACATGAAAAAGAATTGAGATTAATGATAGGAAAGATGATCCAAAAAGAGAGTTCGAAGCACAAATTGAGAGGATACAAGAAATGTTTAATAAGGAGCTAGAAGATTAAAGAGCAAACAAATGGAGGTGAACAATACAAAACTAAAATGAAAAAGACACTAGAAGGAATCAACAGCAGA